TTAGAGCTGCCCCAAATTGGCATGCGCACACCTGTCATTCGGTTTGATAATGATGCATCTGGTGCGGCCAGGAAAACTACGCCAATCCTTTGCCATCCCATGGCCAACTTTGTCCTTTGACGGAGGAGAGAGCATTTGGTTTTTGGTAATTTTTTTTTTTTAAGAAAATGAAAGCTTAACAACCGAACTCTACTCCTTTTACCCCCCAGGAACACACTCACAAACTAAATCAATTAAAGTTATTCAAGCAAAATGAAACTCCACGCCCTTGTTCAAAATCAAAATAAGAATAAGAAAAAAATCGCTCTGAGAAACTTGGAAACACGGCTGGCAGAATGGGGAAAAAATGAAGGGAGAACAGAGCGGCTTTTCACACTTGTTAATCACATTTTCGCGTCTTAAGCAAATAGCTGGCAACTCTGGTGCCCCCAAACTCATTGTAATTAAGCGGCTTAGGCGTTTGAAAGCCCATTTTTCCCTCCCGAGCTACCCTGTTTGCCCGCTCCACAGTTTCGAGTTTTGTGAATCTGAGGCACAAAGGCGCTGCTTTTAGGCTTTCGGGTGCCACAAAACCAAGGCCAAAGCCATTGCCATCGCGGCAGTGTCTTCGGAGGGCAGTTTATCGAATTAAAAAAAGCAATAAGCAAGTGGGCCGAAGAACTGGGGGCACCGGGGCTCTAGAGGGCACTGGCGAGCTCACACTTCATTGTTCCCAGCTCGACGAGAAGGGGAACAATAAAACTAAAGTGGCTGCAGGGAGGTAGCTGGACCATAGGACTCTCCAGCGGTCTGTGTACATAAAACATGGCAAGAAAATTATAGTACAATTGTTTAAAATAGGTTCCCCATTAATTTGCAATTTTTAAAAGGGATTAATTTTATTTTTAATGACTAATAGGTAATTCTGACCACTTAGGATCTGACTTTCCATATTTAATATTACTTACAGAATCTTTTTTAAATATCAGTTATAATATACTCATTTATAAAAACAGATTAAGCTTTCCAAACAATTATTAAAATTTCAACGTTTCATGGAGGTCATTAAAATTCCTTAATATTCTTCAGTGTATGTATGTATAGTGGGGGATCCTTTTGGGGGCGGAATGGGCCATGTGCGGCCAGTGGCTGGACCGGGCAAAGTTGGCATAATTATTTCATTAACACTTAACAAGTGGCCAAGCCGCGTCTGGGGCGGGGACCGGAGGCCCGGGGCTTTAGTCCGGACTCACTGTCCGGGTCTGGGCCGGAGTCCGTTGGCGTTGCGCAAAAACTTTCGCATTACGCATTTGTGTGCAATTTTCAAATTAACAATTGTTAATTTTGCTCTTGTTGCCAGTCCGGCCTTTCTTTTATTTTATTTTATTTTTTTCATTTCTTTTCTATCATGCGGGCGTGTAACAAAACAAAACGCAAAATGAACACCAAAAAAAGTTTAACAAAAAATTACAAATATATAAATTTGACCGTTTGCCTTTTTAAATATCCATTTTTTTGTTGTGCACTGTCCCGACGTCGGTTTTCTTCGTTAATTTTTTATTTTTCTCTTACCAACTTTTTATTGCGTGTTTAGCATAATTTTTTAATAATTACATTTTTGTGTGCTTGACCAAAAAAAATTAAAAAGGAAAAAAAAGGAAGACCAAGACCGGGGAAAAATTCGAAATGAGAAAGAAACTGAGGAATAATAAGCAACAAGCTCTGGAAGGCAAAAGGAAACGAATCGTTTTTGTTGCCATTCGCCTGCCTGCCCGTTGACTGTGGGCAAAAGTTTAACAAAGTTTATTTGCATTACTGACAAACTGTTTAATTAGGGATTTTTTCTTAGATTTCAACAGCGAAAGTTTCTGTGTGTGTGGGTGTGCGCTATCCTGTCGGCCTGCCAGTATTTTTAGCAGAGTGTGTTCCATTGCCGCAAATACAATTAAACGCAAAAAATATATAAAATAAAATCAGCCCTAATCTGGCCAAAGTGCTATTGGCTTTGGCGGTGGAATGGTGGCGGGCTGGCGGTAGGAGTGGCAAAGTGATTTTCCCCCAAACTGAGCTAATTTATTTGATATTCCTGACAGGCACCGAATTAAAGTTTATTTAAACACGGTTCTATTTAATTGGTTTTGCGTAACATACACAAATGCTTCCCTAATTAGAATTTTATCCAAATAATTATTTTTCTAAATATAATCCGTTTTGCGAGGTAATATGATAACATACAACGCGAGTTTTTGCGTTTTTGAAACATTTAATTTACTAATTAATATAATGTGCTTAACAAAATATTTTGTAGTCATGAATATGTTTCCGAATTGGTTTTGGATTTCCGTTTTTTTGGCAGGTTGTAGCTTGGAATTCCAATCAAACACAAAACTTAATCGATAGGAGATAAATGAAGAAGGTATCTACAAAATATACTTCACCTCAAGTAATGGCAATTTTCGCATTTATTGAAGCATAAACTTAAATAAATTGTTTCATTATTTTATGAAATACGAAGCTTGGTTGCCCTCTAAAAATTATTGATAGACAAAACTTCCATTGAAGTATTACAAGCAGTTAACGATAATTGTATTTTCCAGCTGGTAGCCGCATTGTTATTTCATACTAACCGGAATAAACGAAGCATCTGTGGGAATGTCAGCATCTCGGAGCAATGTAGAGCCACAACCACAGAGTGACTCTGACTGGGCAGACTGCTTGGACTGCGGACTATGCGCACTATTCGGACTATGGTATGGACCGTGGACAAGGGACTGCTGGCAATGGACACTAGATGGACAGATGGACAGGCATCCACATTCTGATAGCAACTGTCAGTCACTCAAACAGTCCGTTAACCAGGCAGCCAAGCGTTAGGAGCAGTTTTAGCAGAGCTGTCCAGTCAGTGGCCACCGGACAACAACTGGCCAACAGAATTTCCTCGCATCATTGTAATTGTTAATTACTCTGATATTTATTCCCTCTTTTTATACTACGCGGACAGGACCGCCTTCAGTTCTTCCTTTTAATACGCACGCACGCATCCAGCAAATCGCCAGCTGCTGTTGCCAGTTGCCAGTTGGCAGGATCGTGCATATTTATGCTTTTGGCCACATCTTCTCTTCTGGCCACGAATGAAGCGCTGATTTGGCCGCCACACGCAGCTAACAAGCAATGACCACCCATTCGGCCCACAACACGTCAACACCAAACAACGTCGTCATTCCATTTCGAAGTGGTTGGAATTTCAGCCAGATTGGGTGCTGGGTGTGGGCGTAGAACACTGGAAGGAATGTATATCACATAAAAGCCACTGATCTATTAAAAATATTACATATGATAGATACTAGCCAACTGGCTAGTCCTACATAATTTAAATTTTTAGTATAAAAAGATAATTATATTTACTAATGGTGGTTGTTTATTTATGTTCTCTTTTATGGACTCCATTAAAAATTACCAAACATATTTGGATTGATTTATTATTTTGATTTATGTTTTGTTTTTTTGTGTTACACACATATTTATTTTGAAGGCTCTTCGGAAAACGCCAGAAATTTCTCCGCCTTAAAATGAGAACTAATTACCTCATATAAATTTTTTCAAAGTGTAGCTCTGCCAGAATGAGCCACGTCAAGTGAGTTCACAATTTTTGCGTGCTACCATTTTTCTTCCGCCACTGTCAGCCGCGAGTTTCGTCTTTGTACGAGCGCAGCACGGATTATCCTTGGCATGCAACGCCTTTATCCTGTTTTATTTGTGTTGTGCAGGGGTGCTCGCTCTCTCTGTTTTTTTTTTGGTTATTTTTTTTGCCCGCTGATTTCGCTACTTAATTTTTTTGCCCTTTTTTTTTGCCTGGGTCTGCCTGTCTCTAGGTCTGGGATGATGTCTGTCTCTACCCACTGTGTATCGTCTCGCTTCCGTTCTGGCTGAGCTGATTGGGCGTATTTTGTTATTTTCATGTTGTTCCTGCTACTGGTGCTGGGAGCAGGAGTGCTGCTGTCTGTCAGTCAAGCCAAACGAAGCCAGAAAAGGACGAAGTCTTGGCCATGGTCCTGGCCTGGTCTTTCCCATTCCTCCCCTGCCACCCGCTCGTTTGTTCATTCGCTTTTTTCCCACGTAATTAAAACTTGAAACGCATATGAATTAGAAAATAAAAAAAAAAAAATAAAAATAAAAAAAATAAGAGAAAGGCAAAAGTAGAGAGAGAGCGAAATAAAATACGAGTACGCGACCCGGAATGGAGCCATTTGATGGTACAGAATGACATCCTGTTTCCCGCAGCCTGACATCGTTAACATCGCTGATTAAGTTTTCTTGTCCTGTGCTCTGTCTGCATGTCACTCAACGTGATTTGAAATGAAATTTTTATAATTCCACCATCACCCTTGGGTGAACCCATCCCAGTTAACCCTTTTTAGCCATTGCGCTTATTCGTTTTAATGTTTAACTTTATTGTGTTGACGTTGGCCAACATCGAAAGCAAACAATCTTGGAAGTTGCCAGCAGATGCTTTGCCAAATATTTCATTTTTAAGATATTGTTCTTATGATTAAATAGAAAACTCTCTCAGAGTTGGTATTGTCATTCGGTTTTATTGCAAAGCCACTTCTAAAGACTCCTATTTGACGACGAATCCTTTCCATTCCATCATCGTTTTCTTGTTGACTAGCTTTATCCTGCAACTTGGCCACTGCATTTATCAATGGCAGTACTCAAAAATACTCCACCATTCGCATTTTGCCAAACACACCAAGAAAGCTAAAATCCGGTTAATATATGTATAGAAGTATTAATAGGGCTTCGGCAAAAAAAGATTATACAAGTTATTAAAGTTTAAGCTATCATAAAAGAAGCCTTATTTGATTAATGCATCTGGGTTATATCTCAAAAATATAATGGGTATTTTTTAAAAACTTCATTGTTGCTTTTAAAGTTAATAAAGTAGATCTATGTTAAATTATTCCGATTCATTTACATATAATTTTTATATAAAATGTACAGAGTTTTTATATGTTTGAGCTCTTGTCCTTTTCAAAAATATCTCAGCACTCGTGTTGGGTAATTAGAGCACAGCTCGTGTTGATTTATTAGCAGCCACTGGCTAATCAAGGTCGGATCGTATCACATATGCACATTAAATGAATAACACTTAGCCGAAGAAGCCGAACGGTGGTGGCGGAGGTGGCGGTGGGTAGAAGCCGCCGAAGCCACCTCTGAATCCCCCACGTCCAAAACCTGGCCTGCCAAAGCCACCGCCGCCGCAGCAGCCTCGTCTTCCAAATCCGCGCCCGCCGCCTCCGAAGCCGCCTCGACCGAACCCGCCCCGGCCGAAGCCTCCCCTTCCGAATCCAAATTGCCTGGCCGGGCGTACAGCCGGCATCTCCTGCTGCTCGGCTGCCTGATTTACATCCGCCAAAGTCAGTTGCTGTACATCCGCCTGGGGCTCCACATTGGGATCCGGGCCTGAACTGGGACTGGGATTGGGGCTCGGAATGGGATCTGGGTCTGGGAGAGGCGTCGCCGAGGTACCCGACTCCGCCAGCAGGACCCAAAGTCCTACACTTAGCACTAATAGATTCAAGTGGCAAACGCGCATCGTTCCACAACAGACGTCTTACTCCGGTTAAGTGCGGATCGGCCAGGCTAGGCTCTTTATATAGCTCCGACCCAGAACGGGATGACGGTGAGATTCTAAACGAGTTGAGTGCTGACGACCTTAAACAATTAAATTTCCTGAGCATAATCAACTGGCGAAGAAAATCCCCCGACTTTCGAGAGCCCCGGGGCAGGCAAAAAACAAACAGGCATTATAAACAACTAAGAAAAGATAGAAAAGAAAAAAATAATAGAAAAAATCACTTTTGCGTAGCAAAACAACCTGTTTATAGTTTCACCCACATCATTGTACAACTCGTTTGTTTCTAATTATGTTCTACAAGCTGAGAAGCGTAAAAACACAAAATATCATTGGATTACTTTGAGACCCATCGATATCCAATTAAATAATATTCTTGTGTATAGCATTGTTTTTTGGCTGTTTAAATTCTTGAGAGCCTAGCTCTTTGACGTATTATTTCATAGAATTAAAATATACAAAACAAAGTGGTATAACGCATTAAATTAAATTTCATGATGGCACTTGACAGCTATTTGTGACCTACTAAAAACTACAACTCTTGAAAAAATGGCTGCAAAAATTTAAATAAATTTGAAATGTATATTCCCACAGATGCGTCGACCAAGTCGAGTGTCACTTTTGGATTAAGGAATATCCCGCTTAAACTAATTATTTCTAATATATTATTTCCGATAATGGGCTAATTAATGAGCTTTTAATTGATGACATTTGGTTTCGTTCTTAATGCATAAAGCAATAAAAAAACATTAATTGCATAAACAGACATTAGTTCATTCGTTTTAGGGCATCTTTAATAATCTCACGCAATTATAGACTAAAGACACTTTGGATTTCTTAACACACATTTCAGCTCATTATGAAGGCATAGAGAAAACAGGTTTTTGCAGCTCTTGTAGAAGGGGTGGAGTGTATTCTAATCTCATTAGATATCCACGTACATTTGAGCAATTAAATTTGCAGGCTTCCAATGCTCATTAAGAGGTTTCTTAAGTACAGGCATGCGAATTGTTTACAAGAGGAAGAAGCCGCCTAGAGTACCTTCCCATAACCGAACCGCCCTGATCTCCGCCCCAAAAGCAATACGTATTTATAAGCCATAAATAACGTGTAAACAAAAAGCTGCCACAAAACAACAAGTATACGCCCGGTGGGCCCAAAAACCAGAACCCTAAAGCAGCAGACGCAGCATCTCTCTTGTGGCAACAGCCGCAGCGACACAACAACAACAATAGTAACAGCATCGCGGCCAAATTATAAGGCTATAAAAGGCAATAAAAAAAACTTTGCGATATCAAATTACAACGCCCTCATAAAGTTATAAAAGTTTCAAGCGTATCCAACACACAGCACGTCCCACGCTGTCCCCATCCCTTCATACTTTCTGTGAAACCCCATTTTCCTGATCCCGATTTTCCCATCTCGATTTTCCCTTCTGGGGCCCGGGACAGGCCTAATATTTTCAATAACAAATCAATCAGCTGCGGCTGCTGCCGCGACGGTCAACACGGATAATCAGTTGGAACGGCTTTTCCCTCCTCCGGGAAGGCAAAATGCCAGATGGCTTCGGTGGATGGTCGGTTGCCACAGAAGAAAAGTGGGCGGGTGTGTATTTCGAAGGTGCCGTAGATTTATTGAGACACGATTTCGATAAGAACTGCTTCACCAAAATGGCCAAAAACAAAAAAGCTTCAGAAGTCGAATTATAAATACTCTGTGGATATTTTTTTATGAAGAAAAACTAGAATAATAAATAATGTATATGAAATCACCTTGTTTACTGATTATTTCAGAAATTCATTTAAAATGCTTTCTAAAAAATGCACAAGAAGGCGTATAAGTTCTTGAAAAATTTCATGAAGAATTTTAGTCTGCATTTTATCATCGCCATCGCTGCATAAGAATCCATTAAAGCATAAAAAAATAAAAGTGTCTTCCTTTCATAAAGTTCCAAGTGTATACCATGAAAGTGTAGACTAACAAAGCCCTTTACAAGACTGCGTTCTAGTAACAAGAAATTTTTCACGAGCCAAAAAAAAATGAGATGGGGCGAACGAGAAAAAAAACGAAAACTTTTATCAATGCTGGCGTTTGGCCCTTCTTTGTGGGTGTACGGGTGTGTGTGTCCTTTACACTAAGGTCAAGGGATAACAAAAGGCGTAAATTTAAAGCCGAGTTAATTTTTTAACAATAAAGGGCGCTTGTCAAAGGAGAAATTTTACAGCAAACGTTTAATCTTAAATGACTTTTAGAAGCCGTAGGAGATTGGAAAGTTAGATAGAAAATGCCACTGGCAGCCGACGCTCTTAAGTTTCAATGGATTGCTTTGTTATAAATAAATAAAAAAAATTAATGTAGAACGAGATGAAAACGAATGACTTCAGTGCTGGAAAAAAAATCCCTCTTTATAGCCAATCTTAAAGGGTTTACTTTTGTACTCTTAACCTTAACTCCTGGAAATTAAGCCTTCATATGCACAGTATTTCAGGCTTTAAGATAAATATATTTTCTGTTTCATTAACAATACTAATTTTCTATTTCTACTTTGCACTTTTAAACAATATTTACACAAAAACACTCGTGCCAATCACTGAAAGCCATGGAAATGACAAGGAAATTAAGGGAATCAAATAGCAGAGGAAAATTTATTTCGAACTTAATTAGAACGTGCTTGATTGCACTTTGATTACACATTCTATTTCTAGAGGATTAGGTTTAGTCAGTCACAGATAAAAAATGAATTTAGCCTCGGAAGCCTCCGCCGAAGCCAGGGCCTCCGAAGCCACCTCCAGGGCCTCCAAAGCCACCACCTCCGAAGCCGCCTCCAGGGCGTCCTCCGAATCCACCTCCAGGGCCTCCAAAGCCGCCTCCGAAACCACCTCCAGGGCCTCCTCCGAAGCCACCTCCAGGGCCTCCTCCAAAGCCACCGCCTCCGAAACCACCTCCAGGGCCTCCTCCGAAGCCACCTCCAGGACCTCCAAAGCCTCCTCCGAACTGACGAACTTGACGAACAGCAACCGGAGCCTGGACACCTGCATCCACGGCCAGGAGTTGGGCGGCCGGATCGAATGTAGCAGCCGAAGTTGAGCCGGCGACCAGGAGGACGGCCGCCAGAGTAAGACAAACGAATGTGCGCATTTCAGGAAAACTTCTGCCACTAATCACCACCAAAGTTTCGACGGCTTCTATGAAGACTCTACTCTGTGGCCGGGCAATTTATATGATTTCAAATTTATCGACTGCCGGGCTGGCTTGGTGGCTAGGGGAAGGCGAATAAAGGCAGAAGTGGTTCGACTGGCCGGAACATCAAAGTTGCTAGTGTTTCGCCCACTGAAATGAATACGGCGGACGGAGTGCGATTCGTATTAAATGACTGGCTAAGCGCCGGCAACAATAGTAGCCCAGTAGCCGGTCGCTATAATAATAATAACCAAAACCTATTACGCAACAACATTTGTGAAGCGGTCTGGTGGTCTGGACAAAGTATAAACAAAGTTTTGGCAAACACCCCAATGAGAAGTGGTCCCTCAGCTGGATAGGCTTTCTCCCCAAAACGTCTCGACGAGTATTCAAATTTGCAAAACATTCAAGTTTTCTGACTACGCAACACGACAGAGCAAATCAAAACAGATCGATAGAAAAGTGGGTAAGTGCTCAAGGGAAGCACCAGTCTAAGTGGCTTCTCCATCATCTTTCATCTGTCCGATTTCGTAAGGGTTTCGGAGCAGGGGTTTTGGTGTTACTATTGCCATTTGTTTCAAATCATAGTGTAAGCAATCGACGCAACTGGTTGTTATTCAAAAGTCATCAATGACTCGAGACAGTGACGCATCTTCGTGTCTGAGCGACTGACAGTGGCTTGGGTTCTAATCTTTCAAGTGGTTCTTGGTAGTATTTATAAAATAAATATCTGGAAATGAAACCAGTCCAACTAGAAATGTTTGAGAGCTTTTGGGAAATTCCCTATTGGGATTTCGGATTTAGTGTTTCCGAGAATATTCCGAGAATAATATAAGCTTATATTATTGAAAATCAGACAGTAAACAACATAGCTTCCAAGGTTGTAGTCTCAGTACTCCTGCTTCGAGTTCTTGGCCACACTTTTTAAACTTAAAAGTATCTTGAACTACCTTCCTTATTTACAAGATAGCTTCCATTTGCAGTTAATCCATTAACTAGTCCCACTTTCAAAAGAAATAAGTAACGATAAAGTTTCAAACTTTTTAATTCAATTATGGAGTCAAAGAGGACATTTAAAAAATCTGCGACAACTCCCACTGATTTGCCCCATTGGACGGCCATCCGTCAATTGCCTACCATCGCCATTGGCAGGCCAACACGTCTAGAGTAAATGACAAGACTGCCTGGCCTACGTTTCTCACAACATCATAGACATCATCTGTCCAGGGAACTATGAAACTTTGGCTTGAACTTTTCAAGAAGTAATAAGCTCAATGCAAGCAGGAAAATGTTAAGAACTTTTAAGCCAGACTTTCAGAAAGTAGGGAGTACAGCCATTTTGGGTAGAATAAAAAAGTAAAAATATTATAACGTTTGAAGCTTAGTTTAAAGTAAAACGTAATACGTATTTTACGCCTTTATTGGCCACAAAAATGTTTTCTAAATGTTTTCGCACAACATGCTCTCAAATTAGAGCTCTAATATTATTAGCTTTCAAAGCCTTAAAAAGTTTACAATTTACCAGTCTTCATAATGTATGCATTATTTTTTATATGCAAACAACTTTTATAATGAAAAGGACCCTCTAAAAAATTTATTTTAATACTATTAGCAAATATACTCAACTTGTCTGTCCATGTAGGCTTTAATTTCATTGAAAGTAAAATAATATTCCGTCGCATAAATAAGTGGCAACCGGTCCACAAACCTACCTCTAAAAAATAGTAAATTAGTTGAAAAGCACCTGGAAAACTGGCCAAATGGCTGGCGCCAATGTAAATTAGTAATTTTACTAATCGCCAACCAGTTTGCCAAAACGTGGCAGGGCTGCAAAGTAAATGTTTGTGTGGCCTGGCATTTTTAGTAGCCGAAAGTTTTTGCTAGATTATGACAATCGCCGTCAAAATACTTCTTTTGTCGGACCGGCGTTCAGGTTCAGTTGAGAAAAAAATGCATTTTTAATTTATGCCGTGTCTGAAGAGCTTTTTTTTCTCTATTTTTTATTTCAGCATCTCCCGGTGAAAATTTATGCGGAAGTTTACGCCATCCAGTGGATTTTGGGGGATTGTAGGAGGAACTCCGGCTCGGGCCCGGGCTCGACTTGGTCTGGGAATGTTAAATCACAAAATGTGCATCATTTTGACGTTGACAACGTTAATTGACCCAGTTTTCTGGACTGGCTAAAAGCGTTTAAATTTGAATAAGCAAATTTGGGCAGCGAAATGGAGACGGGTTACAATTTATAGAAAAGGGGGGAAATGGTGAAATTTAGCCATTCGCCATCGCGTTTTGCATAAATGAATTAAAACGCCGCAGCTTAGAGTTTGGATTAGGCTTTGGATTCGGATTTGGCTATAGCGAATAACACATGCGGCAAAACCGCAATAAACCAATTGAGAGCTATTCAAGCCGGCTATAGAGCCATCGAGCATTGTTAATGGCCGGCCCGCGCTCATAAAACAAACAGCCAAAGCCAAACAGAAACAAACAGGCAAACAATCAAGCAAACCGGAGAGCAGGAGCTGCCACCGCGGTGCACCGGAGCTGGAGCTGGCAAGCCAACAAACTGGCAAACTCGCAAACTGGCAAACTGGCCGAACTCGGCAAACAACAAGAGCGCCAACAAACAGCAATTCACACTTACGCACCTCCAACTTGGAGGCGGTGCTTATGACGTCTGCCCAATGTCTGGGAATGGTAATGGGAGTGGGAAACTCTAGCTGCTAAATGCGAATGGGCGAATGGGATTGAAAACGGCAATGGAAGTGGTCGTCGTTGTGGTACTGGTACTATCCCCTAACCCCCACACCCCGAAACCCGGACTGGGATCCGGTCAATAACATAACTTACCTTCAAATGAAATTAACACATTTAGTCGGCTTACCTGACCGCAGGAGTTGGTCTAGGGATGGTAACCATCAAATCGGATAATTTGAAGCGTTGGTTTTCGTTGCTTTCAAGTAGAAACTAATTTTACTATTGGGTAAGTACTTTGGAAAATAAATTTCTGCTTTTATTAGTGCTGGAAATGAGATGGAAAAGAATATTCCTCTATAGTAAAACCTTAAAGACTTAAATAACTAATTATGTTAATATTATGTTAATTTAATTTAATAATTAAACACTTCACTATAAAATTTGTATATAAATAACAAAACATAATTTAATTTTTGCAATATTTTTTGTTAGATATTTCATCTCTAAATGAACGTGAAATGTTTTGCTCTTTAAACTGCCAGGTACTGCCATTCAATTTCATGAACGCCATTTAGCGTAGCCACCAAAAATGACCAGCCGTATGAATTGGCTTTTTGTTTTTTTCGGTGGTGGAGGGAGGGTCGCAATTGTGGGCAACTGCGGGCACCTTACACATATTTTAATAGTTTGTTTTATGGCATTTACATTAGCATCTAATTTCTGCTAACAAGCGGCCGCAAACAAACAGTCGAAGCAGTGCGGAAAAATGCGAAACAAAAGTTTCTATTTTATGCCCAAAGTTCTAGGCTATAAAGACACCGGTCGAGAGATGGCCAGGTCACAGTTTCGAACGCAGCAGCCAAAAGGCAGCACGGAGTAGCCACGTAGCACCGGAATACCCCATAAAGACACTGATAAAGTCAAGCGACCGGCAACCAGTTCAAGGAGCCATAAGGATAATGCGTAGCTGGCTTTTATTTGGATTATATGCGCTGCTAATCGCCGCAACAGTTGGCCAACCGCTGCAGCAAAATGAGCAGGACTCCACCAATAGAGAAAATGTTGAAGAGGAGCGGGGAGAGCGAGTGACCCGCCAAATTGGCTATCCGTTTTTGGGTGGCTATGGAGGATACGGAGGATATGGTGGATACGGAGGTTATGGTAGCTATGGAGGCTACGGAGGTTACGGGGGCTATGGCGCTGGCATACGCTCCCCTTATTATCCTTACGGCAATCTCTACGGCTCCGGCGGCTTGGGACTGACGGGCAGCGGATATTATGGTCGTCCTTACGGTTATGGCTATGGCTATAATATTGGATATCCGCTCATTGGCGGCTTTGGTGCCACCGCCGGCGGCTTCTATGGTGGTGCAGGATTGTAACTATTTGTTTAAGTGGCTTTTAAAAATAAAAAAAAATACAAAAAATAGAAAACCCATTGGTGTATCGGTGTAAAGTGCAAACTGAGCGACTGGTGGCCGCAAAAGATACAGATCACATGCGGATTAGAATACAAAAATAGGTTTATATTCAAAACCCGATTTTATTTTTAAAGGTTATAGTTTTGAAACAAGCACAAAGTACTTAAATGTAAGGGAAACTCAATTGGTAACTACCACAGTAATGTATTTATTTTCTTCATGTCCTGAGCTCCTTTGACATGCTCCCTCTGCAATTCAGGACGATTATCGCTTTCATTCATTAAAATCTGATGCGGTGTACCTCATTATTTGCTCAGCTTAATGCTAACAAGAGGTCACTCCTGCACTCTGTTTGCCTCCAGCTGCGGGAAAAGCTTAAGCAAATAGCAGCCAGCTTTGTGGACACCGAGTCGAGTGTATGGGAGACAGGTGGAGATGGTTTCTTTTAGATTTTAATTGCCGATAGTGTAAGCTACAGTCCCATACACTTTACACTCACAGTCCGTTCAAGCGAAGTGTCCTAGTGCTGTTTAATTAGTGTGTGTGACTTTCAAACAACTTGCCTTGCGTACATTGCGCATACGCCACGTTGCACCCACACCCACTCGATCGGTGTAGGCAAACACACATTCAGACTGCAACTTGGGCAAACAGAAACAAAAAACTACAAGCAACAGGATGTTAAAAGAAAGTTGAAAATGTCCGATGCCCTAACAAGCTACGTGAGCTTGAGATATTATTTCAATTAGAAATCCTGACAAGCGAAAACCCTAAAAAACGCCTTGAGTATAAAAGAAAGCTACATTTTCAGTCATTTTCACAAGGCAGTTTATTAAATACCTTATTTAATTATCATTTTCCCTTGAAATTAATTTAATGAATTGAACCAAGTTTACTCTTTTCATTAAAGTCTCATTTCACCATTTACAAAAACATGTTATTGAAATAATTATAGTTGGTAATAATAACCAACGAATATAATTTTCTGAATTTCACTGAAAATGAAATTAAAATTTAACAAAAAAGAACACAGAACTACAGAACACGGAAACGTCAATGGTATAAAAGTCCAGAAATTTCGTGTTATTACTATTTGTTTCTATGGTGAATTTCATATATTTTTAAATATGAAAACATGAATATTTATTTGGGAATATATTTTTACAGGGAATATTATGAAAAGATTTATTTTAATATTTTTTTCATAAAACAAAATATGTCCGAAAAAGCTATATTGAAAGAAAATCTGATGGTGCAGCTAATATACCTTATAAACAAAAAGAAAAACTCACCGTTTGACAACTTGGCTTTGACAATCCGTCGACAAATACGGAATATACCCAGCGGCTTTCAACCAGAGTCCAGTGGACTCTGATTGCGCTTCCACTTGAAGCCGATTATCTTTTAATGTCTCTGCGGGCAGTCGCCCACGGATGTCGGGGAGCACTGAATAGACATAGACACGCCGGGCCATTCATTGAATTGTGCTGCTTTTTATGCACTCGCAAATGCCATTCAGTGGATTTCGCTTTTGATTTTGCCAACTCTTTGCAATTGCACTATGAACTGCTGTTGCTTTTTCTGTTGCAGACGCTGTGTTTAAAATGGCAATCAGATAACACCTTCCTATTCGCCATATTCAGGTCCGTTTTACCATTCAAAGCTGAATGGGGAAAGCCGGAAGAGGGGATGGAAGCCGCTGAAAACTCATATATATATTTGCTTTTTATGCGTAGTTGGTCAGGCGATGCGAAGAAGTGAGGGCGTGCACCCTTATCCTCCATAGCCCATCGCCCATATGTACCTACATTCACTAAACTGAAACAACGTGCCTCACTGACTGACTGACTGAGTCAGTGGGCCAAATGGGTTGTCGGTTGGCATAAGCTTTATACATTTTTACGCTTTGTGGCCTCCGCTCTATGTGTGTATATTTGCATGTGTATCAGCTCAAAGTAGCGTGAAATAAAAAACGTCGACACTTGAGGCCGAAGCCTTTGAGTGCTGTGAATGTGCATGAGTATATGCGTCCGTGTTGAAGCGTTAAAATAAAATTAAAAAAAAAAGGAAACTAAAAGACCAAATGAAAATAAAGAATATAGAACTAGTCGATGGCCAGCAAAAGCACAACATCCACAACCGCAGTCCAGTGGAAAGCACTCGGTGCGGAAAATGAAATCTCTCTGGTGTGTTCTAGGATCTGTCCATCAAGCTGGACCCTAAGAAAAGTACACCAAAGACCTCGACCGATGCCCCGATAAGGCAAAGATGGCACTGCCAAAATACGGTCTTAGATAGCTGTCAAAATATGATGGGCAGAAAGGGATTTGAATTTCAACTCTTCACAACTTTTACTGAAAAAATTTTATATTACATTTTAGAACAAAGTATGAAATACTTTAGTCGACGTTTATTTTTTATTATTTTCAGTGTAAGACTAATTGGAGAAAGGGTAAAAGCTCCGAGCTACAAGGTACAGGTGAGGCTGCGGTCGAGCCGCAACTGAAATACCTTCGCACCCTTTCATCAGCAAAGTGGCCGAGCAACAGTTGCGCCTAGTTTTCAAAAGGACCCCGGCCAAAAGGATAGCTCAAGCCCCAATCCCCGGCCAGGCCGCAAGCGCCTAGCCAAACAGTTTAAAGCGCATTAAACTTATCTGATAGGATGACGAACAGTGTCTACATACACAACTTGGAGCTGTTGCTGCGATAAGAGCCACTTTGCCTATCAATGCATTTTAAACGAGACGCTCGTAAGCCCCTGCCACACCCTAAAACTAATGACAAATTAATATTAACAAAGCAATCTGGTGATGTCGCTGCTGTTCCTGCTCCTGCTTAGGTCGCTCCCCGGGAAACCCAAACAACATAAACAAATGCCAAAGGCAGGGCAACTGATTTGCCTGGAATGTTACTTAATTGGAACTTAATGTGCCTCGAATTGTTTACAAACACGAGCCGCCCACCACCGGGGAGGGGACCAGGAACCGTTCTTCCTGTGCAGGAGAATGGCAAAAGGACAACGGGACGATCCTTGGACAAACGTCCCTAAGATAAAGCAAAGTGGCGACAGCTTTGAGCAACACTTCAAAATGAGACCCGAGCGGGGTGAAAGAAAAATGCGTTTTAAAGTGACACTTGATGTAGGTAATGTGACAGCGTAACAAGCCGGCGAAGGAAACAAAATAAAACGGCGAAAAGCCGAATAAAATGAAATAAAATATTAAATAGGACGACCGTTTAAAAGCCTGAACTTTCCAATGCCCTACCTGAATTTCAATTAATTAAAAGTGCTCAAGTATGTTGCGTAAAATAACTCCGATCTAATTAATCAAGTTCAAGAAATAAGCAACATTTTAAGAAATATTAAATTAAAATAAAAGCAAATACTGAAAATTAATTGGTTATGCTTATCACTCATAAATTTTTTAGTATTTTCAAAGCTAATTGAAATGCATTATAGGAATATTTTTGATTCATATGCCATGTCTTGTCCTTTAGCGAATATGCAATGATTTCATTATAGTATGTGATTATGGCATTGAAGGCATCAGAGGCATTGTTGTTTCGCTATGGGTCCAAAACGAGGTCCATCCCCATGCCGGACGGGGCTTTAATTTGCGCACTCCATTGGCCCCGGCCGCGACGGGCATTATCTGAAGAGCTGCCGCTCTCCAAGCCCTCTGACAATAAGTCCTGCGTCGCGTCCAGCGTTGACAGCTGTTACAGCTGCAGAAATATGCAAATTGGAAGGCGTTTTAATAGATAAAGAGCGGAGGCAGCGTGCCGCAGCGCCAGCAACGACTACAGACCCACGCAGGACACTCGACGAAAAAAGGACGTTGCCCGGCTCAAAACGGGAAAAAACTGCGGTGAAAGCGTTGAAAAAAGCATGGCTAAGTGGAAGGCAGCCATAATAATGGCTTTTGTTGCATATTGTTAAGCTAAATGGTGAAAGCTTATAATCTCATTTGGCTCCAGCGAATTGAGGATTTTTCGAATTATTTTAAAAGCTTCCTGAAAAACTCTTTCTTAAAATTGAAAACATATTTTAGGTGTTCTTGTTTAGGAGAATAAATAAAAACTAACAAAGCTATTTTCAGTTTTTTTTTGCTAAACTAAAAACATTTTTAATGTTATTCCCTATTAAAAATAACATGAATGCGTTTGCAAATGGGATAAACCCCTTTTGGAATTCGTGTTAAACAGGTTGAATACGAAATGGTTGTATTCCTTTGGACATACCAATAAAGATACAAAATCAGGCAAGAAAACGCCCACTTTGCCACCTGTCGTATCCCGGGGAATGTGTGTAGGATGTACCCTTGGTCCTTGTCCGTAGGTTCAACTTAAAATTCAAAATAAGGACCCGGGGGCTCGACAGCTTCTTATTTACGCCGCTGCTCTTACCGTTGGCCAAGTTGCGTTGTCATGCCCACTTTGGTAAATGGTAAGAAAAAAAAGTATCTTTGGGATGTGCCGTTGTCCGTCCAGTGGGCAGGACCCAATCCTGTTGCACGCTTTACACTCTACAGCTCTTTTTTTATTCCTCACCGTTCCAGAGCGTCAATTGTTTTTTCGGGGTGACCTTTTTTTTTTTAGCTGTTTTCTTACTGTCAGCTCTTTCGTCCTGGACAGGGACCTTAACACTAAATTGACTTTTAATGCAAAATAAACCAAAATAATGTATTGCGTAATTTTCTTTAAAGAATTTTTACATTAGCATTTCAAAAGAGATTTTTCTTTGTTGCTTTCTGGAGCGCCGAGCAAGCGCTTGGCAGCCTCGGTCCCGACTCAGTCCTTTGGCTTTTTGCCCATCTCATTTGCCGTCGCATTTTCACGCCCTTGATTTTGAAACCATCCTCAATCGGCCCACCCGCCATTCCTGGCAAGGAAATGCCAAGGAGCACCTTTTCGCAGTGTCGGCCTGGCCATTTGCTAAGTGCGACATTAAATGTTGCGTGAGGATAATCCAATCTGCTTGACATGAATTT